CTGGTTCTTCATCCCTTTCAAATAACTAGCGTTTTCCCCCCATTTTCCCTCACTTTAGAAACAGATAAAACTCACATCCCAGTAAGTTGATCTGGTATTTCAAGTCATTTATTTTTCTCATTGGATAGAGTGCCTCTATGCCTTCCTCCCCACCTCACTTCACATTTTATTCAGCCCACCTTAGGGAAGACCTCTCATTGATGCAGTTTGACTGGCATGAAGGTTTACAACTCAAAACTTGCTAGAAAAACACACTTCATTTGCAAGGTTGATCTGACACCGCTAAGAAATGAAGATTGTTCTAGACTTGTCAGGAAAGTTCCTATTACTTTGAAAAATAGCTTATCAGATGGACTGATTTGTAGACTAGCATACAGATATAGACACATGGATGTTTCCAAATGCATCAGCTCTGAGTGAGTGGGGGAATGGGGAGAGAAAATCATTTGCCTCTCTTTTTATGAACTGAGAGAGTTCTTTGTTAATTCACAGAAATGGCGAGTTTGAAGCTGGGAGAGTGAGCATTCATTGGCTGGCATTCTCTGTGCTCAGCTATTCACTAGTTGAGGCTGAGCAATAATTGGCTGACTGTGCACTCTGTGAGCTCCAAGCCTGCAAACTTTCTGACAGTGCCATGCTGAAAGCACTTTTGCTCTGCAGATGGGAACGGCAGAGTAGAGGAGTCAGGGGTCAGTTTTAGAGTGCTCATGAATGATTTCCAAATGGGAAGACTTGTAGTAAGGCAGATCTCAAGGTTGTATTTACTGTAATTCTTTGTGAAAAAATGAGTTGTATACAGGTAGTCCCCAGGTTAAGAACGCCTGGGTTACAGATGACCCATAGTTAAGAATGGAGCCTATTGTAGCAAAATTCAGGTTAAATACACAATGATTCAAGTTAAATACACAATGGTTCGAGTTCATTGCACAAAACTACTTATAAAGTATTATACAATAATATTGTTCTGGCTTACATACAAATTCAACTTAAGAACAGACCTTGGGAACGGAACTTATTCTTAAACTGGGGGCTACCTGTAATCCAGTTTTCAATAACTTTTCTCTACTCTGTAGAACTTTCTTCCAACCTCAGTCCTGAGGATGCACAGTTAAAGGAATGGAGCAGCACAGCTTTACCACTGACGTATCCATATACTTCAGACCACATGCCTTCATCTGCTAGAGAGCATTTTTCTACTACTAGTGTCAGAAGCTTGGAAAATGCAACTGCCAGCACGATAATTAATAAAAAAATTATAAATGGAATACCAAAAATCCACAGTTTACCTCAGATCTCACCCTTCCCAATCATTAAGGGTTCTACTGCTGGTTCAATTAAGGAGGCAGTTCAAGTACTGTGTGAGTTCGAAAAAATTGTCACCTCCATTAAGAAGGCCTTTCTATACCAAGAATCTATCCCAGAATCCTCCCTGTACCTAGGGAAACCTCACTGCAATGTAAGCACCAGTAATTCTAGTCACGTGATACTTCGGACAGGCTGGAATGAATGTGGAACTGAAGTACAAAGTGTAAGTCTCTTACTAGAGAGTAAATTAAATAAGATCTAATCAAACATTAAGAATAGGTAAGTTGAAATAATTAAGGAAAAAGCATTATTGGAATGATTAATGTTCAGTGAGGCTGCTCCTTAGAGAAAGATGAATAAAGTAAATAATGAAAAATTATGCATGCGCTATTCCTAAAGACAACATGCTGGGGCAAATAAGATTTGGGGCTTTGATGCTTAGTCTACAGTTTAAATAGAAACTGTTGCTGAAATGTATTTCTCGTTCATTTCTGTTAATGTAATACTTCCCCCCCCAGGACATTTACATATTAGATTCTTCAGTTGAAATAAACTAGTACAGTGGTACCTCA